AGTTCACTTGCTGCTACAGTTGCTTCCCTAATTATTGACTTACTTGCTAGCAAGAATTTTTGCCTGTCACTTCCAATGACCGCTTATACTTATCCTTATCGGCCACGAGTCAGGCAACTTCGCCAGCGTTCCTAATCCTGTGCTAGTGTATGAGCTTGGCCTAGAGATAGCCCGATATCTGGAACAGATTCCTCCCAGACGCTTGTTTCAGGTCATTCTTGGCCCATCCCGGTGCTTTCGTCCGGTTGATTGAGCAAACAGTAGCTCTTTCTATTGTCTGAAAACATTCGCAAGCCATGCTTAAACCATGCCATTTGATATTTATGATTCTGGGAGAAGCAGCGGCTGCACATTGAGGCTCCTTCGGTTATCTGTATTCCGGACCGTGTCAAGAAGCGTCACCCGTGCGATTCGTCTCAGAAAGCCTATTTCAGCCGCTTGTTCCTGAGATCGAAGTTTTTCAGTCGCGGTCTACGACTTATAACTGTAGATGAACATGCTGGTGAAGATCAACTTGAACACTGAGAACTTAGTCTCAGACTCAGCTCCGCTTTAATCACAGCGGTTCCGGCTATTTTACTCAGAACGCCACTGGCTGTTCCAATTCGCCGATCGATCTCTTCCCCCAATTTTCCATCACTAGTAAATACAGTTCCGAGGTACTTGAACTTCTCCACTTGCTCCACTGCCTCTCCGTTATTCTGAAGAGAGCAACGGGCAGGAAAACGAGAAAGCACTAGGCTTTTCGCTTTAGATCCGTTCACACGCATGCTGGCACATTGTACTCGGATGCGAACTCTTCCAGAGAGCATTGTAGATCGGTTTCAGAAGATGTCAGTAAAACAGAGTTGCCAGCAATCAGCAGCCATCTCGTCTTCACATTTCCTATACCGATACACTCATCGCCTTGGCTGCTCCTGACTATTCTGTCCATGTTCATTACAAACAGGGAGGGGACAGAGCGCACTCTTGGCGGAGACCAGTGCCAACGTTGAGAGGTTTCGACTTAGCACCATTTACTCTGACACTGCACCTGCTATCAGCATATCGTAACCTGATTACGTCTATACCAATTGCCGTTTGATCCTTTATGTTTGTAGACACCGTTTGCTTGCTGCGTAGGATCCAGTTATCGGCTTTTTCGAGGTCCACAAGGCACATGTCGACCGGGCATGGGAACTCACTAAATTTTTGAACGAATTTTCGTAGGATGAAGACTTTGTCAGAGGTGCTTCGGCCTAACTTGAAGCCATGCTGCTCTTCGTGGATCTTAAAGTCAACTATTCCACTGTACCTCTTTTCCAACCTTTGCGTAGGATTTTCCAGGGAGACTCAGTATGGTAATGCTCCATTATTTGGTGTAGTTCCTGTTGTCTCACTTATTGAATAGGAGTACTGCTAGTTCTCCAGTCCACCAGTGTTTCCCCGTAGTCATTGCAGTTTGACAACTACTTGTTAGCAAAACATGCCTTGTTCGCATATGGTTTTAGACATTTCACTGCGGATGTCCTCTATTCTAGCAGTCGCCACATTTCAAGTCTTTTACAACTTGTGTAACTTCGTGTACTGAAAGACTAATATCTGCATTTGCTGCTCTTTAGACGAATTTTCATGCAGTTTCTCTGGGTTAAGGAGTTCCCTTAAATACTCTCATAACCACCGAAGTATATTATCTTCTTTTCTAGGAAGGTGTCCAGAGATGTCCTTCAGGACTATTAGACTGTTTTCAAGACGGAGGAAGCGGGTGATCACTATAACCGTAATAGCTTGTTTGTTGTCTGGAGATTCAACTCCATCGGATCGTCGATCTCTTTCCAAGAACCAGCTTTCACTCTACTGATTTATTACACGGAATAGTCAGCTGGAGGTGGATCCAGCGAAATGCAGCCACAAAGGACGCTCGCATCAGACACAGTAGCTGCTCACCGTCAAGCAGGAACTGTGAATTTGTCGAACTAGAATTATTAGTTTGTAGTAGTTTTAGTGGATATAGTTATTTAGTAGTAAAATGAATAACCTGACGAATATTGTAGCAGAATCGATTTGATTGTTTTTGTTATATAACTTGTTTTCCGGTTGGAAAATTAAAGTTTTAGTGAATTTTTTATTATAGGATGATGTTGATTATCTCTGCTTAATGTTCAGCTGATGTTCAAAGTGCTGTTCGATTTTGTGGTTTTCGTGTACTGAAAACAGTGATGGATCAATTACCTGATGAAATGTTGATGGCCATATTTCAGTACCTCGATTTCAAAAGTCGTCTGAAAGCTTCTGCCGTATGCTGGAAATGGCACACGCTGCTTCAGGTGTGTAACGTACATAGGGACGATGTGGCGGTGGTGAACGTCTTCGGGTGCAAGGTATGGGATGTTAATATCGACGACGCGGCCAAAGAACGACTGGGAACAGCACTGTCCGGTTCAGCGGACCAGCTGGTCAGCATTCCCAAGCGTTGCAGCTCACTGAAGATATGGTTTGACAAAAAATCATTCGTTTCTAAAGTGCTGAAAGTGCTGGCAGGGAATAACATGAAGACGAAATGTCTCGATCTCTATCCGTATGACGACGTTCTCCCTTTAAATATCGTCAAAAAGCACTTTCCTGATTTAGAGGCACTCATTCTTCGTCCACATTCAACTGAGTTCTTCTGGACCGGTATGGATATGCCTTATTTTCCGAACTTTTCACACTTAAAGACGCTTATCCTCGAGAACGTGACCCTTTGTGGTACTGCTGCATTTCCTCCATCGCTCAGACAGTTAGAGTGGCATCACCGTGACGACTCTGCGCTCGAAGCATTCATGGACAAAGTTTCCGCTTGCCGCAATTTGCAGTGTCTGATGATTGCTTACGTGCATTTTGACGCATCAAGTCTTACAAGGCTTTTGTCCATCTTCACGCAGTTAAAGTTTTTGCGCACTCTTGGATTCAAATTCGTCAGGTTTCCAGTGTTGACACAATTGGAATGTGGCACTAACTCTCCTCCAATCAAAATTTTAAAGCTTGATTCATGTTACGGTAATATTCGTGATATAGTGACCATGTTTCGAAATTTCATTCCCGTTACTCTGAGCTTTTTATCCATAAACACGATTTTGGAGGAAAACCAGCTGTCAGACATCAATAGTCTTGTCCCGTCGCTTGCTCGACAGAATATTTTACTGCATCTGGGAATTATGCAGCGGATTACAGGGTAATTCGACTTTTTTGCTTTTCCGTCATTCCCCGCGTCAAGCATGAAATGATTGCGCACACTAAAGAAACTGTCTTTGTTATTTAAATCTTTTAATAGCGTAAACTTAAAAATGCCTGACAATGTCGCGAACAATCGTAAGAGAAAATTTCGCTTAGCATGTCGATACAGGTACCTTATCGACTTGTCAACTTGATTAGCAGATTTCCTCTGAGGTTCAGACGTTCGATCCGCGCGCAACGATTGAGTGATTCTGATCTGGGCACTTACTAGCTAGTGTGGTGGTGGAATCTTGAAGAATGTAGAACTAGAGTCGATAGTTTACTTCACGATGCAGCGCTTTCACGTGATATTAGTATTCTATTGAACAGGTTTGATTAATTTGATAGGAATGCTGTAACGATTACCGTAACAGTTACGGTAAGTCACGATCATAGATAAAATTCATTTCAGATTCCATTGTAAGCAAGCAGTAACACAGCTACTTAGCGGACCGCGTTTCGGTCAGTCGTGATTAGTGTTGACTAATAAATGGTAATGTCAGAGTGAACTCAAATCGTTGTTTTGTTTCCTTTGAAGTAGTAATCGTCACAATGAGCCATTTGCGCACCACGCCTCTGGTTATATAGAATTTTCGAGCCACTTCGCTAAGCTTCTCAGAGTAGTTTTGCCCGCGACATTGTTAACTTTTTGAATTTGGCCCTGAACATCGGTAACTGAAGAAACAGTTCCCCTCTAAACCCCGATCTGCCTCTGCCTTGTTCCTCCATGTTGCGTTCCGGCGTCCGGTCGATGTCTGCCTTATTTTGGTTCAAACATGAGAAGCTCAGTTTAGCAATGTAGTTAAAGGCTTATGTTTAACTTGTTTGCGTTTCAGGCAGGTGCTTTGCAGCACTGTTCCTGCCAGCACAAAGGTTACTACAAATCCACTCACAATCAGAAATCTGACATTTTTTTACGGCGCATAACAAATAGATAGTATAATGTGAATCTAGTTTGCCTTACGTTAATTCCGTATCGATAGACGGCAGTGGTACGATATTCCTACGCTTTATCAAATACTGACTTAAAACAATTTCATTTGAGAATCAGAGTGCTCATTTCTTCTGCGTGTATTTAAAAGGAACGTGTAGCTAACTGCTATAACGATGTATAGTCACGGTGTTCTCAAGTTTTGCAAAATTATTTGAATGAATCAGCCTAGAAAGACTGAAGTGGATTAATAGGACACTCAGAAATGAGCTACGCTTGCAGACATGGTACTTCTGCCATTACCGTATTTTCCTTGTAGAACCATAGAGCAGCGGTGACGATCTTATTTTTAGGTATTTGTGCCTTATTTCATGCAAAAAAATTGTCCGCCGGTTAAGAATCAGTATAATTGAGCTCTTGAAGACAATGTCCATTTCGGAAGAATTCAATGGGGAAGCCATGTATAATGTTAATGTCGGAGGATGATCTGAATCGCTCACAGTTAGCTGCGGAATTTGCCATAGAGATATATTCGCGCCTATGGTCAACATTGTTCTCGACTATTAGTCTTTCGCAACTTTGCTGGTCCTTGCAACTACAGGGGTCTTGTATTAAGGAGTATGCACAGTTCAAGATATCTGAACAAGTAGCTTGTCTACCTGAAGTACACAAGTGGTTGCTTCCTGATGAGTAGTATTAGGAGCGGACTTCATTGTCTGATGACTTATCTGTACAAGATTGCCTCTGCCTGGTGCCCAAAAGTCCAGATTTATAGGAACCCATCAAGTCTGACTTACGATAAGTACAGCATGGGGGTGAAATGATAAAATTGGTCATATGGGTTATCAAATACTGCGGTTCTTTATTTTCCAACAGGGGCAGAGGTCAGTTAGAATTGAATAAGCTCGTTGTTGTACTTTTTATGTGCTATATAGACAGTTCTTTCTAATGAAAGACCAGAAATGACGAACAGATTTACCTTAGCAGAAAATGGAAACTAACTGCTGAGAAAATGCTGGGACTTGCTTATTTTGCGGGCCTAAATGTTCTTAGCAAAAGTAGTGACCGGAAAATAGATTAGTCCTGATTGATAATACGATTTAACATAAAGTATTCATTTGAATTTGAGCTTGTCATGGAGAACCGAAGTGCCACATACATTTATTAAGTGATTTGAACGCAACGTGATAGAAGATTGCAGCAGATCTGTATACGGAATTAATCGTTCCTTTATGAAAGTGGTGCGATATTTTAATGTGACAAGTTGGAACTTCGTCTGATCGTTAATCAGCGATTTTCTACTAATGCAGGAAACTCAATGGATGGTCATAAAGATGGCACACTACACGGTAATCTTTTGCCTCCTCACATGTGACGAAAATACATGGACTATAAAAGTAAATAAAACGTTTGGCTGAACATGAAGCGCGGACCCAGTTTCAAACCTGATTGTTTGCTGCTAGTAGACGAAATAGCTCTATCTTCTTCATTGAAATAAGTGCTGACTATTTTTTTGCTCTTTTTAGCATTTACTAAGGAAGTACTTATCGTCAACAGATCTGCGTTATAAACCTAAGTATTTCTCTTACTTGCTGGTTATTATCGCCATATTTTCGATGCAGACGCAATATTTGGACCAGGCGAGAAGTAGGGCGCGTGCTGCTATAATTATTGTTGCTCCCGGTCTTTAGGCGACATCTGATTCTGACAAAAGCCGCTTCCTCGTCGTCTTTAGCACATCGAAAAATACAGCGGCGGGACGGTTGTTTGTACTTATGTCGAAGAACGGTAAAGCAAAGCCATGATAGGGCAGTCTCTTCATTGCTTTTGATTTGCGCGTATTATTTTCTAATAGTCTATCAAATCTGCTTAAGTAAAACCTAAGGCACATGGTAAGTTTCTAAAACCTGGTTAAAGTAGATGAACAAGTGCTTAACAGCATATTAAGAGTTTGCACTATCCACGTTTTGTATTGTATGCGCGTTTTCATGAGTCAGCGACAGCAGCAGAAAATATCATCTTCGCACGACGTATAATCATATCAATAGCTGCTATATTATATGTGCAGATATATCTCGGATGTTGAAACGTAGCGAGGTGGCATCCTGGGCTGAATAGTCATCGATACTTTTTCAAAGCAGTTTCGTCAAAGGTGTGGTAGAATTGCCGAGTTACTGAGGGCAAAAAGATTTGGCGGTGTTGTACGTCAATCCCGGATGAATGATAAACCGCATTTTGTGAACACAAATGTATGAATTTCATTGTTTTGACATATCGACGGTTCGATGAGCAGCAGTCTGCAACCCGTGTAATAGTTTCTTAGTAACCATTCACTGATAGGAGATAATTCATAAAATGATCTTCCGGAAGTAGGTAGCAGATGTTGGAGAGGTTGAAAACCATTTGCTTTCCGATACGTTCGCTTTTGCACAGTTTGATATCGCGCATTTGTAGTTACTGTTTCGAGAGTAAGCACTGACTGACTTATTTCAGAAATATCAGTATATTCAACTTCTGATAGACGAATTTATTTCATGGTTTCAGCCATTGTTCTTACGTTCGTTAATAATCCTTTTATTTAACTCGTTCTAGAACTTGAGTTAAGTCATGTTCTCTTTTGATAGCAAAACAACTTCATAAACGTTTCGGACGAATTGGCAATCGGATGTTGCGTCACTAAGCTTTTTTCTTTTAGATCTATATCTAATTTCGTTTTCTAGAATAAGTAATTCGCCAACTAGAAGATGGTCGAACGAGCTGGCCGAAGCTTTGGTGAAATTTGACATGTCATTCGTAACTGACTCTGGTTTGGTAAACTCCCTGGTTACGAACGGCTTGAAACATCGAGTGGTGCATGTTAGTTTTGTGCATTGCGGAGCGGTCAGTAACGAAATTGTGCATCATTTGGCACGATTTGCCACTGGCTTGCGTAGGCTCCAGCTCAATGGATGTGAAAACGTGACCGAAGAAGGAATTAAGTCGTTTCTGAGGCACTGGGATTGCCGTCATTCAAAAGAACTTCGTATTATTTGGAAAAGCGAAATCGGTCTCTTCGACAAATTTTTCACCAATTTCGCTAATATCAATGCGATGCCTTATGCTATACTTCGTT